AGATCTGGGGTCCTGCTCCTGCATCCATCAGCTGATCCAGAGGGCTCTGCAGTGCCAGGAGGGTGAGGGAACAGCAGGACCTGAAGGAAAGTTGGCTCCATTCTGGGCCATTCCAAGGCAGATGTTGTCAGGTTTGTTGGGCAGGGAGCTTTAACCAGCAGGAGCAGCAAATTGGATTTAAAGCCTTTCAGTCCTGTGTCAGGAAAGGAAATAAAACATGAACCTGCCACCTTCCCTTCCTGGAGCTCCTCTCTGCCAACCTTCAGTCACCACTCATTTATTTCCTTGAGGCAAACTCGTGTCCCCTTTGAGGCAAGGAGCTCAGAAACTCTTCATCACCAACAGGGTTTGCAGCTTTCTGAGGAAAATTCACTTTTTCAGCTTTGTTTCCTGTAGCTGGAAGCTTTTAGAAATAATGTGGTCCTTTTCTTTAAAGCAGCACTTTTGAGAAATGCCTTTTATTTTCTCTATGGGCAAAAAAATACCATTTAATGGGGTGTGGAGTGTTGATCCTGGCTGGTGCTCACCAAAGATGCTCCATCACTCCCCTCCTCAGCTGGGCAGGCAGAGAAAATACAGTGGAAGTCTCATGGGATGAGATAAGGAGAGGAGAGATCACTCACCCCTTGCCCTCAAAACAGGCTCAGCTTTGGGAAATTAATTGAATTTATTACCAATCATATCAGAGTAGGGCAGTGAGACCCCACAAAGCCACAAGTTTTCTTTGACTGTGAAATGCTGAATTTTGACTGAGCTGTTCAGTGGGAAACTTCCCAGCAGAACTTTGGTTTGCAGAGGTGTCATCCAGGATCCCTCTGAAATTCTGTGGAGAACTTTGCTTTCCAGCAAATGTCATGGTGTCAGAAATCTCAGCAGAATCAGGCAGGAGTTTGGTTTGACCCTTTGGAAGAGTTGTGTCTAACACAGATTGTCCCAGTGCACGAGTCAGCTTTTCCACGGTTGAAATTGTGCCTTTGTTGTTGCAGGAACTGACTTTTTTAAAATTGTTTCACCATTTCAGGCTGAATGGTAAAATAAAAATACAGGTAGAGAACTAGCTTTAGGAGTGAGAATAGAGATATTCAAAACACCATGTTTTACTCTTTATTTGCATATACTGGAAAATTCTCTATTTCAATCCTCTCTTCAATAGCTGTTCCCCATGGCTGGATCATTTTAGTCAATATTTTCATTTTTCCTCTCATTTCCATCAAACTTTACTGCACTTCCAACCTTATAACCCATTTCCCCAGCACCTGTCTCAGGGGCCAGCTCTCATTTGTCCTGAACACAGCCCTCTAAGTGGGAAATTCCAGAATGTGCAGCAGGGCTGCCAGGAGGTTTGTCTGAGGAATCCATCCCCAGGAAGGAAGCCGAGAAATTCACATTAGGATTCACTTTTCCTCAGCTCCTTCCTGCATAAACTCCAGAGTACTAAATTCACTTTGTGTGATGTACTGTAAGGTTTAGGCTGTGCTAGTAGCTCAGGATTGCTGAGTTCAGATTTTAGCTAAAAAGTATTAAACAGTGGTAAGAAATAAAATCCTGGCAGCCAGGGGTTTTTTCCTGACTGGTGAGGCTTTTGGAAGGGGTTTCCACTCTGGGGATGGATGTTTTTAGTTTTTGTATGACTCCCAAGCAGCATCTCCACATCATTAAATGGGAGCTCAGAAATATGGTACCAACATGCTCCCGTGGTTTTTTGCAAAGTTTCATTCAGCTCTTAATATTTTTCCTCTTTCCAGTCTTGATTGCTCAGGCTCCTCTCAGTTTTTTTCTGCATTTTGTCTCTGTAGGAACAGAGCCCATTTTTTAACATCTGGTCTTGAAGGGCATCAGGATTTAATAGCTCAGAAATGCAATCAGATACAAGCTACATCTTCTTATCTAACTGCCCACAATTTTTTCCAGCATCTGTGTTTTTATAAGCTTTCCCAGACCATGGAATGTGGTTTCAAAGCCTGGCAGAAGGATCTGCAGGCTCTGTCCCAGAGCCACCTGTCCTGTGCAGGGCCAGGAGCGGCACTCACTGATCCTCGTGCGTCCCCTCCACCTCAGCACATTCTGTGATTCTGTATTAGCTTTAGGATTGATTTTGGAGAAGGTTTCTAATCTTATAACAATCGCTCTGTGCCTTTATTTCATCAGGCTGGTAGGAAGGAAGCTTTTAAAGAACATCAAGAAAATGAGTAATGCTGGACATGAAAGATCAGATGGGTAAATTCTCATTGCTGCCGTGATTAAATCCCACTCCACAGTTTTAATGACTTATGTTTCATGGGTCAAATAGCTCCATAATTCATAACTGGATAATTCTCTGCCTGGTAAACTGATCATCTTTTAAATTACACTGCCGTTGTATCAGTGAGGAAAAATCAGTAAAACCTATTAGAGATAAGATTATCTGAGTAGCTTTTAAACTGGAAATATCTCCTTGTGTGAGGAATGATTGTGTTTTTCACTCTGGTTGTCTTGCAGTGGGTTATGAAAGGCAAGAAAAGTGCTGTAGTGAACTAAAAGCAGGCAGCCAGAAAGGGAGCAGATGCTCCAAGTCAAACTGCAGGCAGTAATGTCATTTTTGAGACAGCAATCTCAGATATTCAGAGTCCAGTGTTACCTTGGCCTACCTGAAGTCTTTAATCCAGGTGATCACCTCATTAGCAATTTCCTGATTGTCCCTTACTCCTTCTTAACTCTCAGACCTTTGTAGATATTTTCTTGCTCCCTGTGATTTGTTCTGCTAAAAATGTCCTTAATAATATATGGGAACATAAAAAAAAAAAAAAAAAAAGAGAAATCTACGACTCCTGCAAGGATTATTATTACATCAAGGGATTCCTTTAGGCACTTATCATTCTTTATGGGCTCATCCTCACCCTTGCATACAAATCAACCTCCTGCTTAGTATTCAGAGCAGGGAGGGAGCTCAAAGAAAATAGATAAAGGAGCACTTGGGTTGCTAATATTGGCTGTAACACTTGCTAAGCATGGGGTAATGGTTGGGATGGGAACATCTCCATCAATCCTGCACAGGTGGAACGTGGGGATGGCTGAAGCCTGCGAGGAGCAGAACAGCCTT